GCACTCCTCTCTGTGCACAGCATGTAGACGTGGGCCTCCTGGGCCCCGTCGGTCCAGTCGGTCCAGTCTCTCCCTCCGGCGTTGCGCTGCCAGCGGCTCAGCGATCCAGGGGAAGCCCGGCCAGGCCTGCGCCGCCGCGGGGCTACAGGTCTATGCCCTTGACCAGTGAGGACTCCAGCGTGATGTTGAACTCCTGGAGGGTCCGCAGCACCCCGCCGAGGGAGCTGACCGCCTGGTGGTCCCGCAGCAGCGCGTGCTCCTCGTACATCCTCTCCAGCAGGGGGCACTCCGCCAGCAGGGGCAGCCAGCGCGGCAGCGAGCGGTCCCTGCAATCACAGCGCCAGTGAGAGCCCAGCCCCGCCCTGGGCTTCCGCCACCTGCCCACCCCCCAGCTCCCCTAGAATCCACCCGCTGAAGCGATTTCCCGCTCTGGCGCTGCTGGTGCAGAATGGCTGCGGGGGGCCGGGCCTGGCCTCCGGTGTCCCCAGACCCCAGGCCCCTTCACTCCGAAACGTGCAAGAGGAGGGGTAAACGCCAAATGGAATTCCGTCGATTGACACGGTGCACTTTATTGTAATGACCGGGGGATTCGCACAGAATGAAGCTCGCACACCCCTGATGTGCCGGCAACAACACGTTTATTTACCTCCGCCCGTCAGACTTCGACAGACGGAGATCGAAACTCCTCGAAGGGGTCACACACACACAGGGTAAGGATTAAGGAGGGGTACTTCAGTTCACAGCAGGTTACAAGGACAAAGCAGCAAATACTGACACCTATTTACAAGGGCTCCTCATACACTCTCTACACTCTTTACACTGCCAGGTCAGTCTCCAGTGGACACTGACCCTGCGCTCTGACCCCCAGCTTCTCTCCCTGTCTGTGTGTCTCATGAAGAGCAAGCTGGGGTCTGCGAAAAGACAAATTCCTAATGCAAGAAATTGTATATGGCCAATAAAGTAATCTTATCTAATCTTATTACTGTATCATTCAGAACTTCAGACCACCCATCTTGTTTGGTTGCTAATAGTAAAAAAACTGGGGTACTAGTTTTGACAGCATGGATGGGAGGCTTGTTCCAGGCTCCCACTGTGTGAACAGTGCCTCCTGTTTTTAATTTAAGTGATCTTAAATATGCAAGTGATTCCTGTTGCCCCAGTGCTTTGGTGTGTGCTCCTGCACGGCAATACCCTGTTCTTAAATTTATATATAAATCAGCTTGTCCAGAAAAGACCAGCTGCCCGACTCCCACGGGACTGTTCGATTTACACTCCCAGGTCAGAGGGGTGAATGTAGCGCAAGAGCAGTTGCTCTTCTTTTAAAAAAGCTGGGATTTGATAGACTCAGGTCTTTATTTTCTCTGTGGGCACAACAGTTACTGGAAAACATGTGAAAGGATGGGCAGCGACATCATTGCTGGAGTCCTGCCGGTAACCAAGGAGATCACTGCTTGCATCTTTTCCAGGAACCATCATCCCTGAGGCAGCATCTCTCCAGATGCAATCAAGGTGGAAATGATTCAGAGCTGCTAACAAAACTCGGCAAAGGACTGTCTGCCCTGCTGTTACCTCCAGAACCTCCTCCATCAGAGTATCAGGCAACACACAACCACCAGCTGAGGGGCACCAGCGTGTGTTTATGCTCTTTGCTCTTGCGGAGATTTCCTCCTTTTTTCCGCTCTGGGCTGCTGAGACAGGCCTTCCCCTCTTACCTCGCGCCGAGACAGACCAGCAGCTGAAACTTCGTGTCCTTGCCGATGCTCCGGGACGTCCCGTTGACGGCGTGCACGTACTGGCCGAAGGTCCTGCAGGACTCCAGGAGCTCCTCGGTGTCCTCGCTCTGTTCGGGACCCGCGAGGTAGACGGCGGCTCTCTCTGGAGGGACGCAAGGCGGAAGCAGACGTTACTCGCTCGCCAGCGCCTCCTGGTGCCGCAGTGAGTTTGTCAGCCTGTGCAACAGGAAGTACGGCCTGTCCAAAACACCCAGGCTCGTGGACGAACGACAATCTACAAACTCCAGATTATCCGCATGTGGCTTATCGTCACTCTGCTTTTCAGCTGGTTCCTAACCTGTGAACCTGCTTTGTTTATCCACAAAGAGATTTATTTAGCATATTTACAATGATTCTGAAGAAGGGGGGGGGGGATGAATTTCTCCAATCACCCGATGGACCTGTCATTTTGTTTTGGGTGTCACTTGAACAGTAATCAGAGAGACAGACCTTCCAGCAGCATACAGAATCTGTAAGCTTTATCAGTACCACAATAAACTATTTTATCACGCCTCCTGTTAGAGAAAATCTGTTTTCTAATCAGCTGCCATCATGAACTGACTCAGATAGTGTAGCCCCCCACCGCACTGCAGAATATTAACTGCTGCTACCCAAGGAGACAGACATGAGCTTAAATTAGAGTCTTAGATCATTTCTAAAGTCTTCAGTGTTCTCAGCAAGACTGCCGTGATGCAGAGACCTAGAAGAAATAAACACATTTGGCCTAACACCAGACCCAGACTTCAGCCTCTTCAACATCTCATCTTTTTCCATACGATTCATTCAGGATGTGAAAGCAAGGATCAGAATTCCCTCTGCCCTGGGGACCCTCTGTGTGTGAAAATCACCTCATGGACACTGCAAGGGGAGCTGAGCCCTTTACTGCGCAGTTCCAAACACCAGTTTTGTGACTGATAAAATGGGGTTTTCCAGAAAGACAAGAGTAGGTAACAAAATTAGTTTAAACTCAAAGCAATCTTACAGACTGTAGTATTTTCCAGGGAGAAGCAAACAGTCACTAGTCTGTTAATGTGATGGCCACAGAGTTTTCTGTAGCTTCACTGTGAATTCTCTCCCTTCACCACTTCATCTGCTCAGCTAATGGCTTCCAAAAAGAGACCACAAGATACTATATATGATGTATAACATTTTAAAAATACACATTTAAAATAGAACAGAAATGGGAGAAGGTCTAAAGTTTTGCGCCGTGCGTTTCTCCAAAAGCTATTGCAAATAAAACTAACGATGACGGCGTAATATAGGACTTGTCATAACATTTCCACAAGAGGGCGCTAGTTCATCATTAAAAATAACGGCCACAGAAACCTCTCAGTTCTCAGAAAAGCAGAAAGAAGTCTAAACATCTTTAAACACAGATTTATATATAGTTCTATATTTATAGAAGGCAAGTGTAAGGCACACAACGGTGTTCGTGTATACTGCTCTGCCTGGGACAGGGGCATGCTTACCCATGAAGTCCCACATGAAGACGTTCTTCTGGAAGATGCGGGTGGACTTGAAGCCGTGGTGGAAGAACTGCTCCAGGGCCACGACCAGGCCACTCTCCCCGCACAGCAGGACGGTGAGGCTCCCCCTCTGCAGGCCGGAGAGAATCGGACACGCCCGTCAGGCAGCAGCCCCG